TGAAAGAACAGCAAGAGATGACTGAGCGTTTGAATCTGAAATTGGATTTTTTCTGCAACGATTTGAATGGAAAGTTAGAAACCTTAGATAGCCATTTTCAGATGCTACGCACCCAAGCTTATCATACTGCAGAAGCTGTGAAGCAAGAAGCTTTGGTCAACAAGAAAGCTGTGGAAAGTGAGAGGCACCAGGTTGATGACATCCTAGATATTGGATTTGAGAAAATACTTGAGTAGGAGAAGCTGGAAGAAGATGCTTTTCAAGTCGAAAGCTCTATGTCTATAGGCAGCTCGTACTGGTGTCGACCGACACCAACACCCGAGCATCGACCGACACCAACACCTGAGCATCGCTCGACATCATCACCTAAGCGTCGACCGATACAATCTGATACGCATCGATCGACACCACTTTTGGGATCAAAAAAGTTTGTTGGCATTCAAAACCACTCCGACTTTACCGCTCAACACCCACATCCTCCCACCCTACTTCGAGTTAAAACAACTGCCGTCGATCGACAACAACAAGGGGACATCGATCGACATGAGAAGCAGAACATCGATCGACATAAGAAGCAGAACATCAATCGACAAGAGAATCAGAACATCGATCGACATCCACCCATGCCATGTCAAGTTAGTTTACCAGATCTTGATGCACACCGCTTGAAAGCAACTAGAAACCCATCTCAGACTCCAGTTTTTTCAACACAAGAGAGAAGATAAGCAGCAATCTGCCGAAGCACCAAAGCAAGGGAAATCCACCCTAGCTGAAACCTCTTATTTTGAGAATGTCGATCGACGACATACACCAGGTATCGAACGACACCAAGAGGATGGATACGACACTGCCATAGAAAGTCAGGTAACGAAAGATGAGATTCCAGCTGAGATGAGAGTGAAATCTAGGAAACCCTATATTCTCAAGCACCTCAGGAGAGAAATTAACAAAGTGGAACTTGATTGATTTCACAAGAGGGTGAAGAGGGTTCCTAAGGGTATTTCTTTCGAGGAGGCCTACTATAAGTACAGACTTAGTAATTTCTTCAGTGAAAGCAGAGAGACAGATAAGGACATTGAGCTGCTATTCAACAAGATATGTCGTCAGCCTAATAGAACTCTGAAGAAGGAGCAAGATCCAGGGAAGTTCCTGATTCCATGCTGTATACATAACCATGATTTGCCAACCGTCCTCTGCGATACTGGATCTGCAGTCAGCATCATGGCAATAGACACTGCTGAAGTAATAGGATTAGCGGTGGAACCTTCTAAAGATAGTTTCACTTTCGCAGACAACTCCAGAGTTGATTCAGCAGGCATCATCAGGAATGTTAAAGTGGAGATAGGGGACTGCACTGTTCAAGTGGACTTTCATGTCATGGAGATTAAACCAGGCACAAAAAATTCGCTTCTCTTTGGAAGAGCCTTCATGGCTACAGTGGGAGCAGTTTGTGATCTTAAGAAGAACAGGATGTGCCTAACTAATGTTGATGAAACTGTCTTCTATCATCCTTTGGAAAAGAAAACCGATGAGAAGTTTATTTCATGCATAGAGATGTTTGATGATCCAGCATCTACAGATGGTTCAAACCGCGAGTCAGCAAAGCCATAATCAATATCGATCGACAATCACCATTCAGCATCGATCGACAAGCAGCCTTCAGAATCGATCGACACAAAGCATTCAGCATCGATCGATACCCTCTGTATTTCAGAACAGATCGAGACTGAAAAGTCTAAGTCTGGGGGAAGGACAAGGAGTAGGAAGAAGAAAAAGAAAAGGAATGAAGATGCAGATTTCCTATCACTAGTTCCTTCACAAGGTCAAGAGGGAAGTCTTGAGTATAAAGTGCGCTGTAGAGGAAGTTCTGAACCTTTTGCCAAGGTTAGAGTGCTATGTGATCCAGAGCTGAGAGATAAAGGAGAAGTATCTGCCAGAGCTTTTACCAACTACATCAACAAAATGAGGAAGAGAGACACTAAGACTTGTTCTGGAGCACCTTCACATTTTCATCCGGACTAAATCAGATCTCCAGAAGTCAAGCTAATGATAAAAATAAGCGCTGAGTGAGAGGCAACCCACTGTTAAATAGTTTTCAATATAGTTTTATTTTCATTTCTTACTGATATTTTGTTTTCTAAGGATTTCAGGTATTAGGAAAAAGATTCAAGGAAGATGAGTTATGCGCCAGCTATCGACAGACAACTGGCCAGTGTCACTCGACAGATCATCACAAGTATTGATCGCCACTTAACTGTGTTGATCGATCCTCACATCCAAGAAGATATACAGTCTTCCTTTGTTCGATATATTCCATATGGTTTATTGTCCCACCAATCTTAGGCTGTATAACATTGGTCACAGTGTTATTTAAGTCTGGGGGAGGTTCTACTTATATTATGTTTGAGTTAGATATTTAGAATAAAAACCCGAGTAGACGATTTCCTTGGATATCGACCGATTAGAGCATGTCGATATCGATCGACACTACATCGACCAATGGTAACTCTTTTTCATCGATCGATACTTAATCTGGTCAGGTATATCGTTCTTACTTGTTAAATTTCGTACTTCTGCTTTATGATTTTCACCTTACCACCAACTGTATTACACTGGGGACAGTGTAATTTAAGTGTGGGGGGATTACTAACGTTTATCTACTTTATGGGTCTTATTTAAAATGTTTTCAAAAAAAATTTATTGAGTCAAGAAGGGGATGATGATCTATTTTTGATTTATTAATTGTCATCTAACCAGTTTTTAGACCAGTCTTAGATTTACTGACTGCAGAAATACTAGAGATACTAAAGTTGATCAACCTGTCAACTATGTTTGCACTTGCTGAGAATGTTTGAAGGAACCAAAGCTGACCTCCAACCTAATATTGACTTGATTTGCTTGTCTTGGGGCTTGGTATACAAGGGATTGGAATCCTCCTGCAAGTCTGAAAGGTACAAGTCTGTAAATTTTTGGTTTCCTTCTCTCCTTTCTTTGGCATCCAAAAAGAGAACAGTGTAAAAGATTGAGATGATTTCCTAAGAGGCAGAGGGAGAGGTACATTACCCATGACCCCATTATTCTAAATCAAAGGAATGATCACACATTGTGGAAGCGAGGGAGAGGTGAATTACCTATGACCCCACTATTCGCCTACACTTTGTCAAAAGAGCTACAAAAAGTAGAAAGATAAATAAGATGAACATTAGTTGTTCATTGGGATTGATATAAAATAAAAAGAAAAAAAAATTTGGGATTCAAAGAAGGGAGATATAGGGAGAAAAGAAACCAGAATAAGACTGTCAATTTACTCAGAAACTTGCTTGAGTTGAATCCAAGTGTTCCTTGATCGATACTCCCAAGGTAAAGCCTGCACTTTTATTTTATGCAAGAAATGAGGTTAGTAGAGGGGATTGTCAGACAGGATCTGTTGAGTTGTTGACTAGATGAATTTGGTTGCTATACTAGGATATTGTATAATGTGCTTCTAAGGTAAGGATGTTTATGATTTGGTTTGCACTACTAGAGAGATGGTGACTGAGTTTTTAAAATCTTTTGTGTCCCTGCTGTTTTCAAACCTCTTTCAGAGAGGCTGCCTGTATGTTTTGCTTGAGGACATGCAAAAGGGTAAGTCTGGGGGAGTTGATATACCATGATTTTGACCCACTTTTAATCATGGTAGTGATATGTTTTTATGTATATTTACTACAATATAGAGTCTATTGAGAGTTTTTACAGGTTCAGGTACGTTCTGGAGAAATATGGTGATTTTGGTGTCCTCTGGAGCCTTTAAGTGCAGAACTGCACAGACGCGTCAGACGTTTAGATATGGATGGAGACCTTCCCATGGTGCGATTTATTTGATCTTTTGACACACGATAGAGCGTTGAGTCAGCTTTCCAATGCCACCGGTTTGAGGTCAATCCAACGGTTAGATCAGAAGTTATGCCCATTGTACTGAAGAATGGTCAGTCTGCCTCGCGAGAGAAGGTTGCCGAGAAGATATGTGCATGTCGATCGATGAGAGACACTTCATATCGATCGATATGGATGCCAGAATGCGGGCCGAGTATATTTCATGACCATCATTTTCTACACACCTGAAATGACTACCAAAACTAATTGCAAGAAAACATAATCAAAACCTGCATCTGTCACATAGCAGAAGCACCTATGTCCATGTCTAATTCATGTCTATTTCTATGTGTTATCTCTGTTTTTTAAAACATCAAACAACATCATCATCTTTATAAAAACCGAAATAGAGACACAACAAACCAACATTTACTACACATGTGTAATGTCCTAAACACTAACCAAAAACCAGATTCAACTTATATAAACTCAAATATACCAAACGCTTACCTGAAACTTCTTCTATATGATGAATCTTGTTGTGGCTCCGCTTTTATTCACGAGAACAAACTTGAGAACCTAAAACACACACAAAACATCATCCATCATTGTCAAAAGCCCTGAATCTAATCAACTCAACACACATGCATGCATGTACCATGAAAATACCGAAGATTTCATGAAATTAATATGGAAATGATGTAGAAAGAAGACGATTGAGGAGGAATATACCTTCGACGATGTTGTCTGATGAGACCTTCGCTTAACCGACTCCGCAAACACAGCCACACACGCGAAAAAGAACAACATATCTTCTCTCTCGATGGTGATTTTTGATGGATTTTGGTTCGATTTGATCGGAGAAGAATAGATTCCAAAAATAAAGAGAGAGAGAGAGAGATGAAGAACCGAGTGAAGATGTGTTTCTTTTTTAAGAGGGCAAGAAACTCAACTCTTACTTTTTTTTTCTCTTGAATTTCTTTTCTAATTATTTTATGGGCTCAAGAGCCCAAATAAAGTTAGGCGTTAAAATGGTCTAACACCCTCTTCACACGGCACGACAGTGTAAGTCCCTTTTTTCCGTCTCACAGCGACGCTCTTAAATATTACAAAATCGAAGTGAGAAAATAAAAATATTAACCAAAAACTAAAGCCACAACGAGGCTCAGAACAAAACAAAAAGAAAAAGAAAAGAACCGTTTCTTCTGCTATTTCATCTTCTTCGTGTTCTTTCCTGTGAACAAGGTCAAAAGCAACCCAAAAAATAATAATCCAAATTCCACCTCTAATTCGACTTAGAAAAAATTGTGTAGCTTCACTATTTCACGGATTGAAAGATCTATCCTTAATTATTAATATCCCTTCCTTGCCGACGGTTTATGCTGTTTTTCCGATCGATTTCTCCTCTCCGGTGAGCGGAAATTTCTTTCAAAAGGATTTTATTTATTACTATGAAGAGCAGCAGCAGCAAGGTCAATATCAACAACGGAGATAATCATCAGACGAGGAACGGTACCAATGGATTTTTGCCTAATTCCCTTAAATTCATATCTTCCTGTATCAGAACCGCTTCCTCCGGTGTCCTCTCAGCTAGCGCTTCCGTTGCTGCTTCCCTGAACCCCGATTCCCACGAGCTTAAGGATCAGGTTTCGATTTCGTTTTTGGGTCTTTTAATTGAATTCTGATTCATTCCTCTTATGATTAAATTTAGGAATATTACAGTTTCCTTTTAATAGATTAGATAGGTTTGACTTGTACGAGAATGATCATGGCATTGAGATTCTACAAGTTTTTGTTACTTGTTACAGATCAAGTTCGATTTGATGGGATCACTGATACTCATCTTTGATCAAGCAGGTGTTGTGGTCTTCCTTTGATAGATTACATACAAGTGAATCTTCTTTCAAGAAAGTTCTTTTACTAGGTTATGCCAACGGATTTCAAGTCCTCGATATCGATGATGCAAGTGATGTCAGCGAACTTGTTTCCAGGAGGGATGATCCGGTTACTTTTCTACAGATGCAGCCTTTGCCTGCCACTTGTGAAGGAATCGAAGGATTTAGATCATCGCATCCATTGCTTTTAGCAGTTGCTGATGAAGCCAAGGGCTCAGGTCCTGTTATCACTGGCAGAGATGGATCAGTTAGTAATGGTTATGATGATCCTCTTGCCCTATCTCCCACGGCTGTGCGATTCTACTCACTTAGATCTCACAATTATGTTCATGTTTTGAGATTCCGATCTACTGTCTATATGGTCAGATGCAGTCCCAGGATTGTAGCTGTTGGCCTCGCTTCACAGGTCAGCTCCCTCTTTTAAATGATGGTCTGCTTGGCACAGAGCTTATATTAATTCATTTGATTGAATGCAGATATACTGTTTTGATGCGCTAACTCTTGAAAACAAGTTCAGTGTCCTCTCATATCCTGTTCCTCAGCTTGGAAACCAAGGGGTCAGTGTTGGATATGGGCCAATGACTGTCGGACCTAGATGGTTATCTTATGCTTCCAATAACCCTTTGTCGTCTAGCATAGGTCGCCTGAGCCCTCAGAATGTTACTCCTCCTGGAGTCAGTCCATCTACCTCTCCCAGCGGTGGTAACCTAGTGGCCAGATATGCCATGGAATCTAGTAAGCATCTGGCAGCGGGCTTACTCAATTTGGGTGACAAGGGTTACAAGACTATATCTAAATACTGCCAAGATCTAAAGCATGATGTTCCTGGTACTTCTCTTTCGTCCAGTTCTGGTCGGAAAGTTGGCCGGGGCTCATCTTCTGCAGAGTCAGATGTTGCTGGAACGGTTAGTCTCCTCATCTAATCCTTGATCATTTTGAAACCTCTTCTTATGGGACCACTGATTATTTTGAGTATCGCTAGTGAATTATGTTATAACGTTTTATCATGTCGATCAGGTAATTGTCAAGGATTTTGAATCCCGAGCTATTATAGCACAATTCAGGGCTCACACCAGTCCAATATCGGCGCTCTGCTTCGACCCAAGTGGCACTCTATTAGTGACGGCCTCGATCCACGGTAACAATATTAATGTTTTCCGGATTATGCCATCTCCGTCAAAGAATGGACAAGGCTATGATTGGAGCTCTTCCCATGTGCCTCTTTACAAACTACATCGTGGCATGACATCTGCTGTATGTTCCTTTATCTCTTGTACCATTGTTTCATTTTTACATTTTTCCTACTGTGAATGCTGCTGTCTGTTGTATTCCCACAGATAATACAAGATATTTGCTTTAGTAGTTACAGCCAGTGGATTGCAGTTGTGTCATCTAAGGGTACTTGCCATATTTATGTTTTGTCCCCGTTTGGCGGAGAAAATGTTGTTGAGATACGGTGTTCTCATGTGGATGGATTAACGCTTGCTCCAACATTGTCCCTGCCGTGGTGGTCGAGTCCATCTTTAAGCACCACCCATTTTACGTTTCCACCACCAGCATCGGTAACTCTTTCTGTGGTTAGCCGAATCAAATGCAACAATTTCTTCCATGCTGCAAATTCCGTTGTAGGAAAGCCATCCTTCCCGTCTGGCTGTCTTGCTGCTGTTTTCCATCAGGCAGTCCCATCAGAGCCGCAGTCGTCAGCTCTTGCGTTAGACTATCTACTGGTTTACACTCCATCGGGTCATGTAGTTCAATACAAACTCATGCCATCTCTTGGAGGAAGAGGAGGAGGAGAGCAGGCTGAGAGCAGTTCGCGGATAGGAGCAGCAGTTGAAGAAGAATTAAGAGTGAAAGTCGAACCAGTTCAGTGTTGGGATGTCTGCCGGAGAACAGATTGGCCAGAGAGAGAAGAGAATATACGCGGGCTTATTTTCAGTGGTGGACGTAAAGTTGCAGAGGACAGCGTTAATGCTTCTGATCTAGCGAAGCCTCTCGAGAAAAACCACGCTTATGTTGCCAATGCAGAGGTTCTAATAAACTCGGGAAGAAAACCAATCTGGCAGAACTCAGAGGTTCTGTTTACTTGTCTACTATTTTCTTTCAATAAATAAAACATAACGATCTTGTCATGTTGACAAACATTCCCTTAAATTCCAGATATCTTTCTATCCAATGTTTAGACCGGTCACTAGTGGCCTTAATTATGGGGAGATGGAAATCGAGAAAGTATCTGCAAATGAGATTGATATCAGGCGCAAGGATCTGCTGCCTGTGTTCGATAATTTTCACAGTGTGTATTCCAGTATGCGCAACAGGTAAGCTCACTAAACTCATATCTTTTCTGAATTGCGTTTGTCAGTAATCTCTAGCCTGTCTTTGCTTGCAGAGGATTTCCTGTGGAAAGAGAATCAGATTCTTCTTCTTCGTTTTGTGATCCTGGACAAGTTAAAGGTAACCAAATGTACTTCCTAATCGATGAAATTCAACGTTACTCATACCCTATAACTGAACTTAGCAGGTATAGCTTACCCTGAGAATGAAGAAAGAAGCGGAAGTAGTTCCTCCCATTTTGCACTAACTCCAAACCAAAATCCTCATGCCGGAACTGTAACATTGAAACAACCAGTTGTTTCGGTTTCTTCTGCTGTGAAAGAAACTGATTATAGTGTAGACGATGCTCATATGTTGCTAAAGAACGCCTCCCTGCCCGCTGAAACAACAATTGAAAACAGCAGCGGGACAAGCGGAGCTTCAAATTTAAGTTCTAACCGTTCTGATCTGAGCATGAATGTAGCGGATGAAAGTGAGGATGGACCTATTGATGGCTCCCCAAACTTTGAGCAGTTTTTCAAGGAAACTGGTAAAGAAGCAGTGAACAAGAATACTCCATCTGATCAAGGAAAACTAGATGATGTTGATGATGTTGATGATGATGATGACGATGATGACGACATGCTTGGTGGTGTTTTTGCCTTCTCCGAAGAAGGTAAGAAGAGCGTATCCATCTGATCGCTGTTATATTTTTGAATTGAATATCATTTTTTGATGTATATTCTATTTACAGGTTGACTTTAGTTAATGGCCAAGCTTTAATGGAGAAAGAAGACTAATCCCTTTCGCTGCAACTTACTCACTGGTGGATCATCATACCCTAAAGAATACATTCAAAATCGATATACATTTATCATCTGCTTCTGTAAATTCTTGTAAATGGATTATTTGTTATCAGCGGTCTCTCTATTTGCATGGACTGTTTTCTTAGTTTCTTTGTAATTCACGTGTAACTTTATCAATTCATCTGGAAAAAAAGAAGAAAAATCAGGCAAAAAAATAAAATTGAATAAAGATTTATTTCGTTTGGGTTTTAATACTTCGGAATGTTTACCTATTTATTTATTTGAATAACGGTTTCAATGATGTATTTTCTGCATTACACGGTCATTAATCTCATGTTTACCTATTTTTCAAAAAAAAAAGAAACTTGAGTTTTGATTCTTTCTACTTCACCTCCCCCACCTGTAAAGTAGTCTGGTCTCTGTTGCACAAGAATTTTAAGATCTTATGTGGTTTAAATTGGGTTTCGATAAAAAAAACAAAAATGTTGTTTAAATTGGGTGATTGCAAATCCAGAAACGAATACAGTGTCTATTAAGAGGGAGCTAAAGTGATTCGTATACAAAGTTAAGTTCACATATAATGTCTAGAAAACGCAGATTCAATGGCTTCAATACAAGTACCAATCGGTTTGGCTTTGGCCATTGCTTCTGCAAGTGAAACCCTTGCTTCATTGTAGGAATGTAACAAAGATACAGTGTTCGAAGCCGCCCATCTGATATGAACTGCCTTTTCCATTTCTGTGAACCCTCGCCATTGCAGAACACTGTTCAACTGCAAAATCAGATTTAGGAAAAAGAACATAGGATTGCAATAAATTAATCTCTCTGCATATGAGTAAGAAACATGAGATGACATAACCTTGACAACGTCGGCGTAGAAACCTTCCGAGTATCCGAATAGCATGTGTTCTGCTACCATTCCTCCAAGTATCACACATGAGAAGTTGTTCAGTGTCTGCATTTACAGTTCCAAGAAGTCACTACAGAAACAGCTCGAGCTATCTAAATTTATATATATCATTCACAGATAGTTTACCTTGGATGATATATTGCCTTGAGAAACCTTCATGTTATAAGTCAAAACATGTTAGTCAAGAAGATACTCGTGAGTGTTCCCAAATAAACCACGGAACGACCCACTAATCACCAAAAAGACCAGTAACCGAAATGTCTTACTGCAGCTTGAGTGTTAAGTTAACATACCGAAAGATTCACATCATCTTTCATAAATTGGTTTGCAGCACCAACCTGCAGTAATAACATATAAGCGCTTGAGCATTCATTTAAACTTTCCCTATGCACAAAAAAAGAACTTACTTGTTTGAGGAACTCGAAGCCCACAAATTCTACTCTTCCGGTTATACTGGCTACATTATCTCTTATATCTTCCAAATTTGGTATTTCATAGCGTCTTGGAAGAACTCCAAGCAAGTAACCAACCAAAAAATGGCCTGATTCATGCTGCATACACATCCACAAGATAGATACATTACACAATGGATCCTATGATGAAATAGAAACATGTTAAGTAGAAAGAAACTGGACACAAACTGCTAATCACAGAACTTATTTCACAACATGACTTCCACCTGAACAACAGCGAACCAATCTTCTTCAGAAAGAGAAGTTATAGCTTTGTGCTCTTGAAATTTTCTTACTGAGTTCTGCAAATTAAAACCCAGTTTTGCTTCAGACAAACGAATCCAAAGGCAATCAAGAAAACACTGAAATTGGATAGCGAATAGTAAGATTACCGGTTCATCAGAAACAGGTTCAAAACTTCTGGAGACTGAATCGATCAACCCCTCCAATGTATTCAACACTGATGATTTCTTTGGAAGCTAAAAAAAACAGAAGAAGAGAGTTCCTATAAGAAGATGAAGAAATAATGAGAAAGAGGAGAAAGGAGAGAAGAGAGACCAATTTGGCGGAGGCGAAGGCAGAGAGGCAGCCATGTTTGCCCTTTAGTTGCTTGACGAGAGAGAGGGCAGTGTCGTACTTGCCTCTTGAGAGCTCTTTATCTACTCTCTCAAGTGCTTTCCGGCGACGATCCATGGGTGATTTTGCTCCGACCACCATTTGGTGACTCGCTTGAAGATAAGAAGAGGTGAAGCTCATATTGGTTTATATTTTGAATTTTTGGCAAAATGAAAGATTTGAGAGTCCGTGCATCATTTAATCTGTTTCTAGCATAAAAACATTTACAGAGCATATAAACATTTAGAGAAAATGACTAGGACCTTAACAAAATTTTATATACAAATATAGATCTTAACAATTAAAATGACCAAAATAGCATTTAAATGTTTTATTAAATATACATTTATACTTTTTGGATTAACTATTTAGAGTTAAAGAGTTGAGTTTTGGGGATAGGGTTTCAAATTTAAAAAAATAGAAAAAACTTAAAATTTTCAAAATAAAATATGCTATTTTGGTCATTTTAATTTTCGAAGTCTATTTTTGTGATAAAAACTAAAAAAAGAGGTATTTGAGAGAATTGCTCAAATATTCATTCAACTTCCAAATGAAATGATATGAAAACTAGGTCTTTTTCCTACAGAAATAAAAATTATAAATTTATTTAAAAATAGTTTTTTGTTGGGAGAATTTTACTTTTACACATTTGGTAGTACCACTATTCAACTTTACCTTCAATAGAAGAATATTTTTATAAATACCTAGATCATTAATAGGTAAATGACTAAAAGGGCTCTCTAACTAATTTAGGTTTATTACTTCAGCAGTGCGCCAGTTCATTGTCGTCGATCTCTGCTCACGCCGGAACCACAATCATGTCGTCTCCTCTCCTCCGCAGCGTCGCATCTCGCCTCGTCAGTCGTCACGAACCATCAAAGTTGAGACTTCGTACGGCCAGTGTCGAGGTTAACGAATTGAGCATTCATGTGTTTGTTCAAGCAGTCGTTTTGAGCTTTACGGACTGAGAAGCTCCAAGCTGGGCGTCGAGGCAAACAGATCGAGCAGTCCTGATCTCCATCTTCATCGCTTCAAGCGTTTTGTCTCTGTCGGAGTGAGGACGGATCGAGGATGACGAATCGAGCGAACCAGTTTTTGTGGAGTGGTCGTTTTGAGCTTTACGAACTGAGAAGCTCGGTTGGGATCGAGAGTGTCAGATCGAGCAAGCATCTTCTCCAAATTGAGCAAACCAGAGCTCACGTTCTCCAGCCATGACCAATTCCTGCGAATTTTCGCGATTGGTCCCTGAAGTTCTGATAAATTGCAGTTTGACTCCAAAACTTCGGTTTGAGCAGAAAAGTCCACGAAATTGCCCTAGAACTTGTAATTGTCTTTTCCAGCCCCCTGTTTCAATATGAACAAATGAAACATCTATTGACACCTAAATAATGGTATGTATAATAATTTATAAGAGTTTATAAGGATATGTAAATAATTTATAAAAATATAAATAAAACATGAAACTATCTCTTGCTCTTACCCTTTCCATCCAATGTTACTAGTATGATCTATAAAGTTCAAATCCCCGCGGCAAATGATAGAATATATGCTACAAATCTGCTTATTACTAAAATAACGCAACAAGACAAAAAAGTTAAATATTTGTAATGAAAACAAAAGTTTTAAACTTTAATATAAAAACATGCTCTTTGGCATATCACCAAAGGTCCTAAAGATCATGTTAAATGCAACTGGAGGAGTAAATATACATATATGTAGTTGCAGTTAGCCCTGAAACTACTAAATATTCACCAAATTAACAAACTTTCCCCATTTTTTCTTATTAAGGAACATCAAATTTATAAAAACAATTTATAAAGGTTTATAAAAAAGTATGAAAGTTTAGATTCAATTTATAAGGGTTATTATAAATTTTATATAGGTTTAGAAATCAATTAAAAGAGTCTATAACCATTTAGAAAGACATATAAAACAATTTATAATGGTTTGTATAATAACTTATAAGGGTTTATAAAGATATGTAAATAATTAATAAATTTTATAAAACCAATTTATAAAAGTTTATACATCATTATAAAGGATTATAAAACAATTTATAAGGGTATATAAAATTATTTTTAAGTCTATAAACCATTATAAAGGCTTATAAAAGAAGTTATAAAATCTATAAACCATGTATAAGTGTTTATAAGAAAGTTATAAATCATCTATATAATTCATAAATCATTAGCAAAAATTTATAAATATGTATTAGGTTTACAAGAGTATAAATTAGTTACAAGTGTTTATAAATCATTTATAAAGGTTTATAAATAAATTTATAAGGCTTCATAAATAAATTTATAAGGGTTTATAAAACAATTAATAAGATGATCAAACCTTATGCAAATAATTTATAAGTTATTAGAAAACAACACATTGATGATTATGATACCTTTATGCAATAGTTATACTAAATAAGTTAAATATTTTCATATAAACTCATATCTAATGTATTTTTTAAAGGGACAATTTCATAAATGCACATTTTTGATATACTAATTCACATTTAACTTAAAAGGGAAGACATTTTCATAAATACACACATTCATTAATGATCAAAAGACAATGTTAACCTTGTTCTATGTTCTCTTCAACGAAAGACATTGCAGATAATCCCGAGATTCTTTTACCAATTGTCTTCTTCGTACCGGTAAATCAATAACAATCTTGAAATCCGACTCTTTTTCAATCAAATTCTCCGATCTGATTTATCGATTCGATTTTGATCATCGTGTATATTCGTTATCCAGTTCCTGATTGATCTTCTTCGTTGATCTCTGTTTTCTATCGGAATCTTTTGCGTCGATCCATGTGTGTTATTCTGTATCGTGTTTCTAAAACAATCTCGTACCCTATTGTTTCACTGATGCGCGCCGTTTCTGTATAAGTTTATGTATTGATCGAAAAACCGTACCTTTACTTAATAATCTATCTGATCTACTTGTTCCTGCCTTTTGATTATGTTTTCTTGCGCAAGTGAGCTCCTTTTATGCCAACTATGATCTTAATCTCTGTTTTGTAGTGAAATCTTCATGGTTTAGCAGAGACTTGGTGAACACTTTTGTATAAAAAGATGTGAAACCTTCCATCTCCATCAGACCGTCTCCAGCTACTAAGTAAATGTTTGTGCTTGTTGGGATTCTTAGTGATTGCAGCATCAGGACTGTTTCGTTAGGAGTCAAAGGGCACTTGCCTCGCTTTCTCCAGATCTGAGCTATCTCTCGTATCCATGGCTTTTTGTCTCCTCCAGCAGCTTTGATAGCAGCCACAGATGAAGCGGATAGGTTTGGATATTCACATCTGCTGTATGCTACCATGTCAGGCTCGAATCTAAGGTGAAGTGACAAAAAAGGTTTTGGTATGGCATTGAAAAGCTCGAGGGCCTTCTTCTCCAAGAAGCTAGTGAGGCGTAGAGAGGAGTAACAAGCTTGACAGAGCGTGGCTTTTGCGTACTGGGGATACCTGAAACAAGAAACCATAAGATTCGACAAAACAGAAACTCCACAATCTGACAAAGCCGTGTGTAACCTACCTGTCTCTGCGCTGGCTCATTGCGGGTGTTAAAGAAATCTAATGATGTTCCAATAATAGCGGAGAATGCTTTCTCTGTAATCGAATTGACGTTTCCTTTTGCTGCAGTCTACTCTGAACGGCTCTTTTGATGATATATCTGTGGGGAGATCCTTGACAACTTGGATAAAGCCATTCATCTTTTGAATGAAGTAGTCTACATCAAACACATCTGCAAATCCACTGCAGCAAAAACAAACATCTTGTTTACAAAAAGTGATAGCGAACTAAGGAAACTTTAAAGAGGTAAGAGCTTACTTACCTTGACTCATTCAATAGGCAGCTACCTCAAATTTGGGTAAAACAAGTGTGACAATAATTGAACCACTTGGGTTTATAGAATTATTGTCAAAGTTGGGATCTTTTGTACTTGGGCATCTAGAGAGAGAGAGAGATTCAGTAGCTGATTTAACATACTCTGTATCACTTTTCTGATGCAAATGGTGATGCTTGTTTAAGTCTCTTGTTGTTATATAACTTGTATCAGAACTTTCTTCTGATCGTCCAAATAACGTAATAATTAATCTTTTTTATATTTTGCAGGTTTATGCAAGCATGTCACCTATTGTTCACATTACCTTCTTTCTTACGTAATATGTTTAGTGGATCAGAATCTTGGTCATGGTACCTGACTGCTTAAACAATCTATAAGCAGATTCAGTAGAGTAGAGATGTCACTCAAATGTTTAACCCTAAGGAGTGATTTACTCTCTCAAATAAGAGGTTCAACCGTAGTACTTAGGGATCGAATCCACAAGGAACTAGAGTCACAAAAGATATAATCCTAAGTTATTAAGCTAGGTTGAAAAAGGTTTAAAACAATAAATAAAATAAGTAGCAATGGTAAGTTGCTAAGGAAAATAGGTTTTGGTTTGAAAACAATGAAAATAAATAGTTAGATTCAAGGTTACTATTCAGAAAATCAGGATTATAAATCTATGGATGTCTTAACGAATTGCTTGCAAATATATGAGAACTTCAACCCTTAGACAAATCTATAGCTGTCGTTATCAGACTCGTCCATTGATCTGATTTCTGACTGCATCGATCGATGTTGCTATCGCAGTGTCGATCGATATAAGCTGTCGTCAATCGATGACTCTAGAGGAGTATCGATCGATGTAAAGTATCAGATCGGATTGAAACTGTGTTCACCCGAGAATTTCTATCAGACCGGCTGTCGCATCGTGCCTTAATAGAGTCTGGGTTTAGCCAAATGATTTCAGGAAGATGACTATTAGATTAGTCACTCCATAATCATAACTCTAGGTAGCAAGTCTAGAGTAAGCATTAGGGTTCATTTGGATAATGAATATAACAA